GTCTCGTCGTTGTATATAAATGATAGAGATTACGTTTTTGATTAAATGTGCGGTGTGTACCGGCCCAAGGTACAGCATCTAGCCTGCCAGAAATGAATTAGAAGGAGATGAGAAGCTCATCTCTACAGTTGCAGACCCAAACGAATAAACATGGAAAAACAGGAGTGCAATTCAATGTGTTTTTAGAGGCCTCTACTGCATGGTCATATTTTGTGAGATGGAAAAAATATACTACACTTTGTTAGCTGGTAGCCCTCCATAATGGATATAATTTCTATGCATGTATGCATGCATAATGTCATGGACTGTAAGTGCAACATTTGTGCACACGTCATGGAGATGGACCCCACCAAGATCACCTGGAATGTAGAGGATTTCTTATAAAATCAGAAGACAATGAAATGCTACAGTCACAAAAATGTCAATGAGAAAATGTGAAAGTTTAAATAAAATTATCACTTTAGTTACCTAAAGCCACCTGTAATTGTTTTTTGTCTAAACGGAACTATTGGTTAATAATTTCCCATCACAAACATGTGACACGCCTTCACATGACAAACTCATTTGAAGACCTGCTTCTCGGTAAAAACAACGATCACATTAAGTGATTAAGGAGCAACTGAATTAGACAGAGACGATGCATTGAGGTTTTTTACGTGAAAGAATGTGCACACACAAGACGTGCAGCTGAAACAACAAGAGCTGGCAGAAATGACAAAGGTGAGGTTTTTGTGAGGACGGCTGAGAGAGAGAGAGAAAGACGCTGCGTCTAAACATACCAAAGTTGAAAGCCTCAGGGAAATCTATTAAAGAAATCAATATTTTAGATAGGAATGAGTCGTTAACTCAGCCTTTAAAAGTAGAATGCCATTGCTTGTCTTCACATTCATCTTTTTCTATTAAATGGTGCTTGGGCATACAATCAGAATGACACATTACTAGTTTGTGATTATAGTGTTTTTGGGAAACTCTGCTAAAAATATAATTAACACAATTGTTAGTCTGGTACCTTTGTTCCTGCAGACCTCTCTGTGACTCCGATGGCAGCTTTTAGCTTTCCGCTGCCTGCCTCTGGATGGAAAGAGGGAAGGAACGAGAGAAAAAGAGAGCTAGAGAGAGCCATGACTCATTCACATTATCCTCTGAAGTGGAAATCCTGAAAACGTGTTTTACTCACACACACACACACACACACACACACAGCACGCGCACAGGGGGAGCCCAGGAGCCCATTTGGAGTGCCACCATGTGTGATGTGCTTTGAGCAGCAGCCAGTCATAGAGTGTGAAGCCTCAAATTATCTCTCAAAGGGAGAAAGTATATTTTAACTTGTGTCCCTAACTGTACCCCCGACTCAGAGTGGACACTGCTCACAGCTACCAGCCAAATGGTGCCACATTGTTGCGTTTGTGTTTTAGTATACAGGTGTGCATTCATCTTTATAGGTGTGTGTTGATCTTTTGATGTCTACATTTTATTCCGGTGAAGATAGATTTTATTCATAGATGGTGAAACTGGTATGTTACTTTAATTTACCTCCACCCCCACCGAGGTCTGGACCTCTGTAATTACTAAAAATATTTTTTATATACATTAAAAAATGGGTATTCAAAAAATGTGCCACTATGTAACTGCATAATCAGGAGTTGACAATGGTGTGTCCTTTAAGTGTCTGCTTGTAAACAATGGCTGGCATCTGCTGGTGCAACCCGTTACATCATGTGACATACATGCAACGAGTTGCTTGCATACAGTACGGCCCTGTCATTCTATTCACTCGAGCGAGGGTGGCTGTAATCTACATACATGCAACACACACAACGCTTACTACAAGATCACATAACAATGTTTGAATACAGGTTGCATTTTCAAAGCACACATTACAAATACGGTTTTGGTAATATGGATGACACAAATCTTCTTAGATATAAGACACTTAGATATATAATATAGAATGGCATTCCACTTGACCTATAAACTCACAACAAGTACAGTAAGTAAGTTCTGCGCACAGAATCATTTCGGATTTCTGCTCTGACATTTTTAGTGGCAACAACATTCATAGTGGAAAATATGCTAATACATCATAATAAAGTTAGACTGAAGTTATGTATCTTTTCAAATATTGTATTCAACTTCCTTCAATCTGTGGAACATGTCGTTGTTTTTTGCAAAGACATATGTTTGAATCAAATAGTCATTTTCCAGCACTTCTTTCTTCCCTTTTATTAAAATCATAATCACAAGTCACAACAGTTATTTCTGTCCCTGCCTAGCTACACCACACCCAAGAGAAAAAACTAAAACTGGACAGTAGGCTAACATACATAAGTGTTACTGGCTCCAAAAAGCACTGGTACCTGATTAATTATTGTTTTTTCTTCCATTTTTATGTTGTGGCTGGGTTCAGGGCCCCTAAAAGTCATACATTTTTATTAAGCTAAAATATCCTCCTTTGTTCTACTATATTTTATACACTAGTCTGACATCTCAGTGTTTCTATTAACCTGGCTACAGCCCTTGATGAAGAAGTGTATGTAAAACACCAGAGATCACGGGGATTCTGGCAGTCTGTCCCCAAAGTGAGTAATTTAATATTGTTGGTACAGTGATAATTGACAGTGCTCTATTCTGATTGAGTATATGCCTTATTTTCTCTGATGCTGTCGCATTACTAAAGAAAGTTAATCAACTGCTTTTACAATAGTCAATTTCATTAATCTTTTCAGTTTTTTCCTGTCTACATTTTCTCTGGGTACAAAATTTTCTCTGTTTTAAAATAATTGTGATGTGTGTTTTTGAGATTTCAGGGTAATAAGCAGCCCTTCACTAGTTGGGTACTATTCAGCTGCAGATTTATAAATTTTTGTGAGTATTTATGACAGCAGTACATTGTACAGTATGTAGGACTGACCCATAATACAGTATGGTTTATCATACTATGGAACAGGACCAGTACAATGGTTTGGCTAATTTATTTGTTTGTGGAACTCCATGGCACAGTGCCCATATTCTGGAGCACAATAATCTATTCTGACCAGTGGCATTCTAAAAAATTACACACTCTTTAGATACACGTTTATTTTTGACATTTTTGGTTGTTCATGTCTAACTTAGAATATTGTTTCTAGTCCCTTTGTCCCCACAGATTTGTGTGAATGACTAAACTGGGCAAAAAACAGCTGGAATTCTGCTGATTGCGTTGCTATTTTTCACTCCCAACTGAGTCTATCAAAGTCTATCATACCTGCAAAAGTTTGTTTTTTTCCCCTTAAAAGCAGTTTGATCAGCGTCAATCATTCCAACTACTAATACTTACCAGACCAGACTCAGCTATAGGTGAGAGCAGTCCAAACACTAATCAGTTGAGTACCAAAGAGAAATTGGCATCGTGCTGAAGGGAGCATCTGCATTAGTCAGTCAGTCCTTAGTCACATAGTACATTTTATGAGTGTGAACAAGCAGGATGGACCGAGTGGATACCAGAGATGTTTTTCTTTTGTTTTTTGATGCCAAAGGTGTGTTTTTTTTAGCGCAAACACACGTGAGAGTGAGACAGAGAGAAAATGCCATAGGTGGTGTCGACGAGTTGACAAGATCACACAAGAAAAAGAGCGTGAAGTACAGACAGGAACAGAGACAGAGACGAAAGTGAGCTGAAAACAAAACAGCCACTGTCAGAGAGGCTGTTACTGAAAACCAGCTTGCAGCCTGGATACTCTCCAGCCCGTGATCGTTTCAGGGCTTTGTCTGGAAGCCCTTTTAAAGTCTCTCACAATCCCTAGGATTGAAAAGATGACGGGAAGCATTACCCACATTTTGATGCCACTTCTGCAAACAGAAAACGTCGCGGCGCATTAAACAGATGAAAGGAAGTGGACTGGAAGGTAGATCTTAATTCTTATCAAGGCCTTTGGATGGTAGAGTGATTTAATCTAATTGACAAGTTAGTGATCCCACTCTCTCCTCTCCTCTCATCTCCTCTCGAAATCATTAGGTGCCCTCATCATCACTGTCATTCATCTCATGATCCACAAATCAGAATTAATGATAAGGTCTTGTACCACTTTCAGATCAGGCCGTTTCATTTACCCCAGTCTACCTCCTTCCTCTTTTTGGGGAACATAAATTCTTCAGGATTTTATTAATGTCCATTTTGGCTTAAACTCAGTGGGTTGCTGAGACAAATGACAGCACAGTATATCACTAGTTTCAGAGAATATGATCTTAGACCTAGTGTTTCTCAAGCATGAAATGAGGAGCCATAAAATCTCTCACCCATAGCTAGAGTCGGAAACAACTCTTACACGCTTAGTTGCATGGCCTGAAGATAGTGTGTTCTGTGGTGGAAGCACTTGTGGTGGAGCTGTTTGCAGACGTGCTTGTTAGGGCTCCTACTGTTTATATGTGACAAGGGAGGACTTGTCTGATTTTTTGTGCTCCTTTGTAAACATTGAAATGGTTTTAGGTGTCACTGCTGGGGATGTGGTGCCTGTGTTGGTCTTTTCATGTTTAACTCCTTTCAGCTCATGGTTGGGAAAATAAGATGCTGTGAAATGCTCTGTTCATGTTCTGTCAACACTGGAGAGAAATGAAGTATATCAGGCTTTAGCCACACAGACGACACCTGCTAGTAGGATCAGGTCATCGTTGTTTTTGACCTTTAGATGGGATTTGCTGTTGAAGAAAAATATAGGACATTGCCAGGCATATCCTTTAATAAAGAGAGGTTGGTGGACTTACAACAGATGTTGGTTGTCCACTTATTTAAACATCACATCTAATTTAAGAACACAAGTAGTGCACATGCCTACTTATTGTAGCTAATGCTGTGGTTGATCCAGTATTTTACATATTATTTGTATTTTCACACCTCAGGTAAGAGTTTCACAGGGATAGTGTAAACAGAGCGTGACGGGAGTGTGTCGACTGATGGCCAACAAAGTACATAAATAGTCTGTGTGTGACGTCTGACTACTTTTCCCTTTGTGTCTCCACAGAAACCTGCTGGACCGGGACACCTTCTCCAAATCAGACCCAAGTAAGATCCAGCTCTCGGTTATGTATGTATGTATGTGTTTGTGTGTGTGTGTGTGTGTGTGTGTGTGTGTGTGTGTGTGTGTGTGTGTGTGTGTGTGTGTGTGTGTGTGTGAGTGTGTGTGTGTGTGTGTGTGTGTGTTTGTGTGTGTGTGTATATATATACACAGTATTGTCAGTTAGCAAGCTAGTAAGCTATGCGATAAAAGGAATTTACAGAGAAACAAAACAGAACTAAAGCATGAAAATAATAAAAGTGAAGGAAGCAAATTTGAAAAGAAGGGCATGAAGCATGAAGGAAGGAAATAAAGGTACAAAAAAGTAAAGAAATTAGATGAAAGTAGAAAATATGAGGAACAAATGGAGTGTAAGGGAGTGAGAAATCAATTAGAGACTGAAGGAAGGTCTTATCTTTTGCCATATTTAGTCGTGAGTCACTCCTTATGTGTAAGTGTGGTTTTTTTCGCTCAATGTGTGAGCTTGGCTCGAGGCGTTTGTGACTAATGCATGAGGCCAGCTAAGATGCTTTTTCCTTATAGATTCACCAAAAGGGTGGCAATTCTCCTCTCCTTTCCTCTCCTCTCCTCTCCTCTCCCAACAATTAAATCATTATAATAATGGTTAGTGCCAGGGGGGTAAATTAAAGGAATAGTTTGACATTTGATCCAAGTCTTGGCAAGAAAGTAAATAAGTATATTTCCCAAAATGTCTTAACCATTCGTTTAAGACAGGGTCTCAACCAATATTAACACACCATAGCACCCAGTGGAGACAACATACATGTTGTCTCCACTGGGTGTGTGGGTATGTCATTGTGTGATTGGGTGGGTGTGTGTTAGGGAGTGTCTGCAGGATGATATTTGTCATCTGGAAGTTCGTGTGAATTTGGGATTATTATACCAGGATGACTTTTGGTGCTCTATAATGAGTCACCAATACACACACACACACAGTACTCAGTATGTCAGCACATTTACAGTTGCATGACTGAAGGTAATGATGACGAGGATGACAGTGGTTAACATGATGATGATGATGACGACATTGAGGAGGAGGAAGAAGCTCAGGCTTTACCCATACATTTAGGCTTGCTCTTGTGCTGAGTAGCACTTGTGATTATGCTGAGCACGGCAGCTTTGGCCTCCTGATATGAAACAGCCTGACAGGGTAAAAGAGCAAGGAGGTAAAGGAAAGAGAAAAAAACCCGTTTATGTCTGAGGTACTGGAAATGTAGAGATATCTTAGATCTGTCACTTGCTGGTAAAAAAAAACTTTAAAATGTAAAGAGCAGTGATCCAAAAGAAAACCATGGCTCTCTGGTAGAAGTGGAAAAAAATAAAGCCCTTCAACATAAGCCACAAGACCGTGAAGAATCCAAGGTTTTCATTTCTATTATTGGTTTAAATCTATCTGGTCCTCGAAATATCAACTGTCTGTTTCCATCACAACACAAAGAAATACCTTTTGTGTCCGTATGGGTGTGTGTGCATGCACATTGGTGTATCCTTATCCTATCCACCTATCTGAAAAGAACATCAAAGGCCTCCAGAAATGAAGTCTGTGATGATGAGTGAGCTCAGTAATTTGCCTTTTAGTGAATTCTCTTGTTTCGTGAAATTGCGTAATGGCCTGAAATGATGTCTTTCACCATCTGAAGACTGGAATATAATAATAATATATGTGTTTGGGCTTCACGAATAAAACTAGCAGGCGCTTTGATGTAGTTTTTTGTAATTCATGCATCTATGGCTTGTTATTCATGGATGGCTCAAATAAATACCATGACATTTGAGGGCTTTTTCTTTTTTATTTGCTTGGTGTTTTATGGGAGTGTCCTCTATCCTCTCCTTAGTTAGCATATCCACCAGTTAGGAAATATGGTTATAAATAAGCTATCTTACAAGGGTCAGGTAGTTTCAGTATATGAATAATTGACACAGTTTTGAGGGAAATGGCTGGACAACTATAATGTTATAATGTTACATGTCTCTTTTTTTCACAGTTTGTGTTCTCTACCTACAAGGCATGGGCAACAAGGAGTGGAGAGAGGTGAGAACGAACAAGAGAGAGAGAGAGAGAGAGAGTGTATTTCACAGAATATGGAGTGGCCACTTTGTCGTGTCACCAGTCTTCATCCTACATGTATTCTTTCACTATTAAACAAGAGATACAAACAAACTCCAATGGTGACTGATATACAAAAGTGGAAACAAGTATCACATCTAGAGATCAAACAGCAGGAAAATTTCATATCATGATTAAAGTGACCAAAATTATCACGGTTATCAGTGATATAACGGTATTGTTAAATAGCGCTGAAAATGATTTCTCCAAGTTTTATATTGAAAACTACAAATAAAATTAGGCAATTTTCTTCGATGCAAGTTTCCCTCAACACTCTTACAACCAAAATACAACCAGACTTCAGATGGGCTGAAAAATCTCCACAGCGCTCTTCCACCATGTTGTCATTGAGCCCAACAAACCCATGCTGCATGCGCATCTGCTTCTGGAAGGCTGTTAATAACTTTGGTTGATGCTGGACAGAAGCCTATTTACTGTGAGCTTTTCAAAGCATGGTAATTGAACACAGTTATCATGATAATTAAAATTTGTTTGGTAATACTAACCATAATTAGATGTATTTAATACTAAACGGCCTGTACCCAGTATGTGATACATTTCCCTGCCTTTTGAAATAGATATTTTTATATTGTGGTGATTCTTATAAATAACCAACCAACATGGATGTCTTCATACACATGTTAAATATTTGTGATTAGCCTAAAAGAAACTTAAAAGCAGTAACAAGATCTTACAAATACAGACAAACCCATTGACTCTGGCTCATAGCTAGTTTGAATGGACTTCCCAGTAGAAATTCACCTTGCTGCTGAACAGGAAAAGGTAAACTAGCGCTGCTAAAAATATGTTTTTTAAAAGGAAAAATATATACATTTATCACTGGTGGCAGGGACCAGAAGGGGTGTGTAACGTGAGAAAAATGAAATAAAATAAAACTAAGCATGAAAATATTGTATACTTCAGGAACTGAACCCAACCCCTACTTCCCGCGGCTATGAGTCTACAGCTATGCTAGCAGCTCTGTGAGGCTGTACTTATGCACAGTGATGCGTGGAACTAAATGCTCATATCACGACGCTATTATGCTAACAAGGGAAATGCTAACATGCTGATATTTAGCAAGCATAATGTTAACAAAATAAGTCCACCATTTTAGTTTAGCGTGTTAGCTTGCTAACACTTGCCAGTTAGCATTGAAGTACTGCTGAAGCTGATTAGTTTTTCAGGTATATAGTCATAAACCAAAGTATTGTACAAAAAATTTTTGACCTGATGATAGCGCTACATGAAAACTCAGGGTGTCACCAAAGGTATTACAATTCACCCATGGGGTCACATGAATTAATAATTATTAAGGAATTATTTTTAACTAATTATGAATTAATAATGATAAGAAACCTCACTTTGTAAACTTGTCTATGAGCATGTGTACACTCACATATGACGTACTGCAATCATGAGTGTGTTTCACAATAATGAATATTCATGAATGTAAATGAGGGGGCAAATCGTGCAGCCCCAATCATTCGCAGTTATTCATAGTTCTGAGTAGCCCATCATCTGCATGCATTATTAATAGGCTAAGTTAAATGCCAAACCGGGACCTACTTGACCCCCATTGACTTGATACTTCAGCTGCTCCCCATTCATTACTCTAAAGCTGTACATAATCTTCTGTAACCAGCTTCTTCCCTGATGTGTCACCTGAGGAAATAAAGAACCTGCTTTTGATTAGTTATTCACATGAGTCACTGCAACTTCACAAAGTGCTTATAAAAACAAGTGTCAGATCAAAGTTTTAAGGTTTGGTGAGCTGCAGAAATTCTCACACGGACTTGAACATCATCATAGATTATGTAGATTTGGCTCTTTTTTCATTTACAAAAGCAGAAATGTATTGAAGAGAAAATTATTTGCTCTACAATTTATCCAAAAGGTATTCTTATCTGTCTTTTATCTACCTTTCTCTGTCTAGTTTGGGAGAACAGAGGTGATTGACAACACGCTAAATCCAGACTTTGTGCGGAAATTCATTTTGGACTACTTCTTTGAAGAGCGACAGAACCTCCGATTTGACTTGTAAGTAATGCTGACACCTGTGTGTATCCGTGTCATTACGGTATTAAGATTTGCTGAGATAGATAGTTCTGGATCCAGAAATTGTAAAGGTCAAATGGCATTTAAAGTTCAGGAGTTTATCTTTGGTTTACTCAAATTGGAAGCTTTTTCTAGAAAGCATCTCTTTCAAATTATTTGTTCCTAAAATACAAACTAGGCTTCCATTAGATCTTGAGGAGGGTTTAAATGTCACTGGCATGATTTCAAAATGATTTTATTCTAGAGCTACAAATATGGCTGTTTTTACTTTAGTGCCTGTATTTTACTATACAAATGGCATACAACACAGTTTCCTGCACTACTCTAATTAACTCTCAAACTACTTAAAAACATTGAGGGAAGGTTAAGTAGATTGCACAATGCAAGTGCCACTTGATTAATATTCATGCATGCCACCTAATATTGGCTTATTATAAAGTAATTACAGGAACATGATACAAAAAACCCTCAAAAAAATATGAGAAAAAAATGGTTCAAAAATGACATTATTTAGTATTTTAATGTAGATTTGAAAGTTTTCAGACACTCTACATATTTACACCAGGTTAAGCAATGACAAATCTTCCCTTTTTACTTTGACACTACCAAACACTGATTTATTGAACAGAAGTTATTTACAGTATTTAATTGGGACAGCTTCATTTGTCTAGACACAGTGATGTGCTCTCTGTATTGGCAACTTTAAACGTAGGATTGGTCCAGGATTGTATTACTACTGCTTATTACTATTACTGCTGGTGTTTGGCTGATTGAGGATTTGGCAAGTCTACACATAAAACATCCTCTAAATTAGCCACAAAATAAAAGTAATAAAACACTTGTTACTTACATAAAGTGTCAACAGTGAGCTGGAAGGAAATGTTGGTCTTTGTGGGCACTGTGTGACACTATATCAGAGAGGGTGTATCATTTTAAAAGGCTTAACCTGTTCTACTTAGGCTTTAAAATACACATCGGTATCGGTATGGGCATGTATGTGTTAAAGTTTTGCCTAGTGATATCAGCTTAAAAAAACCATACATCCCTGTTGCTTACCTACCGGTGAAAGGACTCGTGACTGATTCTCTTATTAGAGATACCATCAATACACCTCTCTGTATCGTTCATGATTCAAGGTAACTCACACTTAATAAAGTATAATCTCTGCATTAGTCTCTTGCACTGATGTACTAATTATATGGCACTGTATATGCATATGTTATAAGCTCAGTGACTGCATCTCACACTTGATTTGCATTCCTTTGCATAGAGATATAAAATGGTATCTTTAGGAGACAGTTGGTCATTAGATTTATTATGCCACCAGACTGCCAGTAGGTGAGGGGATTTTCTTTCTCAATTTGCTCTCAGTTCACATTTCTCATTGAATTACAGGGGGGATTTTTCGTGGCTTTATTTTATTAGATGGAGGCTAATTATATTATAATCTATGAACTAGGGAGCCACGGCGACAGCCCAACTGGGATCGGAAAGTTAGACTCTGTTAGTGTTTCCGCTTTTATTGTGTGTTTGCCTGTGAGAGGTGGAGAAGCAGAGAGAAAGTGAAAGAGAAAGGCAGAGACAACATAGGTTGAGCGTGTATGTGTGTTATAGGGCTACAACTAATGATTATTTTCTTTATAGATTAATCTCTTAGGTCCAGAAAATTACGATAAATGTCAATCAGTGTTTACCCATAGACTGTAGATAGTGTTTACCAAAGCCCGATGTGACTCAAATGTCTTCTTTTGTCCACAACCCAAATACATTTAGTTTACTGTCATAGAGGAGTGAATATAGAGAAGCCAAAATCAGAGAATTTCAGACTTTTTTTCTCTATAAAAAGACTTGGAATTAATCTAAAATAGGAGACAATTCATTTTATTGTTGATAACTATTGCAGTTGTAGTGTGTGGGTGGAGGTATGTCTATATGTGTGGATATGAGTTTCTGTATCCGTAATTTTCCATAGGTGTATTAGCATTGGTCCTGGTCTTATTGCAAGAACGTCTTCCGTTCTCACTATCATTTGGCTGGATTTCTTAGTTGAGGGCATGTATCAGTGAATCACTGCACGCTGTCTCTGTTGGTGCAGGTACTGTATTATCCCTGTTTATCCATACTAGTGATTCAGAATCTCTTCTTGTTGCACTGTCACTATATATACTCATATTGTCATCTCGCAAGAGAAGTGTCACAGGGCCACGCGGACAGACTCACTCCGAGACAAAAGCAGAACTTATGTGTGCATCTCCCGTGTGCATTCCCACAGACTGCGTGTGGCCATGGTGACAGCGTTGCGCGCTTGTGTGTGCATGTGTTTGTGGCTGTGTGCAGCTTAGCGAAGGTAACCATAACAACCAATGTGTTCCAGGGGTTGGTGGTTGTGATATAAGAGTGGACAGATTTGCTTCAGGAAAAGAGAAGCATTTAACCTCTCATATCTACTCCTGTCTGCTCCAATTGTGAACCACCCAATGTTACGACCCAGTTTACATTATCACACAGAAATGGACTGATATAAACCCGTTACTTTTTTTCCCCTGAAGTTTTGAGTTGTGCCTTTTGTTGTTGCCTTCTCATTTGTTCAGGTTGCTGTATAAATATATGAGTGCATGCCTGTGTGTCTCTTGAGTGGTTTTCTGAATGGAATTGAGGATCTGAGGAACAAAACCGCGCACTGGCTTTTTGTTGGTCTGTGTGTGCGTGCATGTGTGTTTGTGTGTGTATATACAGTATGTGTCTTGTTGCTAGCACCATTCAGAGTGTGCATCACTGTTAGAGAAACATGCATGTGCCTTTGTCTGTGGCATGTGTTTTGTACACGTGTGTGTGTGCGTAAACCTAGTGTGCTGCTCCTCTCATGTCTACCAGCTGTGTAGTGCTGGTGCTGCCGGCCTGCTGAGGCTAACACAGTCTGAGATGATAGCAAATGAAAGAATGTTTCCTCCCTCAGGCACATGAAAATGGGATCTGCGTGAAAGAAAACAGTAACAGAACAGAGGTTATGAAATACTACAGTATGGCCTCTGAATATGAAATATGAGACTGCACTGTGTGTTACCTCTCTGCGAGTCTCTATCTCCGTTAATAGTGTGTACTATTACTGCTAGTACTACTACCACTAATAATTCTGAAAAGGAGAAAAAAAGGTCAAAGTTAACACTAAGTATTTAGTGATATAGGTCAGTCAGTTGGTCGGTCTATCTGTCGGTCTGTGGTCCACCACCTTGGGCCACAACTGTTTGATGGATTGTAAAGAACTTCAAAGTCCCGAGAGAATTCATTCTACTTTAGTGATCCTAAAGGACCTCCAAGTGCCACCAAGATGTTAACATTTGTTGTTCATGGTGAAATATCTTTACAACTATTGGATAGATTGCCATGAAAGTTTGTACATACATTCATGTTCCCCAGAGGATGAGTTGTAGATAATGTGACAGATGACCTTTCATCAGGTCAAAATTTCACTTTGTCCAATACTTTTATGACGAAATACCTGCAAAACCAATGGCGTTCCCATCAGCCTCATATTTGTGTTTTGTGCTAATTAGCAAATTATTAGCATGCTAATACGCTAAAACAAGATGCTAAACATCAGCATGCTAACATTATCACTGTGAGTAAGTCATCATGCCAATCTGAACTTTCGACTCTCAAAGGTCAAAGGTCATAGTGAGAGGAAGAGCCTTATTTGATTTTAAAATGGGGTTAAAATGTCATCTATTTATTTTGTTTATTAGTTCAATTAATTTTCACGGACTCTTCTTTATACAATGAAAGTGATTATATAGAAAGGGGAAGCGGATTTATGTAATTTAGATGTCTGTCAACTGGCGACCTGTCCAGGTTGTACCCCGCCTTTCACTCGATGTAAGCTGGAATTGGCCCCTGCCCCTCGTGACCCTGTATGCAGGATAAGTGGTTGATGATGGATGGATGGATGTCAGTTTCACGCTTCATCAAGGGAAGAGAGAAAAATAAATGATTCAGATTAAAATTGTGAAAAATAGAGCAGGTCACTTTATGAACAACATGTACAGTATGTCTCTCTGAGTCAGTATGGACACATTTGTTGAGAGTGAAGAGTTTCCACTCTGGAGGATGGATGGTTTGTCTGGTGGAGACACTCTGGAGGTTGAGAAAGTCATAGACACTGATAATAAGATATCGTGATTTGTATTTAATCATTTTGAATGCTCACTCAAGTTTTGGATTCAGATTAATTTACACACACACACACACACACACGTAGACGGGCACACGCAGGATGCACATATTCCTGAACAGTCTAGTAACTAAATAGCTCCTCATTTCTCCCCCAAAATATTACCCGGCAAAGGGCAATCCATTTTTAGTGGTGGGTGAAATGACCTGAGCTGTGAAATGACCTCAAATTGCTCAGTGAATGGCTTGTCTGATTGCTTCCCATTCTTTTGAGTGGCCACTGGACTGGAGGGGCCATTTCTGGACACATTTTTCTCTCCGCAAGTATTAAATGTATGAGAGACCCACAGGTGGAATGGAAGGAATATAAAGTGTGAGTAATATTCAAACATATAACATAAAAATAAGTTGATAGGAGAGCTGACTTTCACTCTCAAGTGCACAAACATGTATATTCTCGCAATCATATGTGTGACCGCCAATTACTCACAGGATGCCTGTGAGCCTGTGATGCTACAAAGTGAAATACCTGGAGCCCTCTGGTGAGATTTTTGGTGATAAGCTGCTTGGGCCCATTACTGATTTACTCTGCCTGTAATCCCTGTCGTATTTCCAGCTGAGCTCCTGTCACCCTCCATCGCTTCCTATTGCACTGACTCTTGCTCTTTTTTCCTTTTTTCTATAGGTATGATGTTGACTCGAAGAGTGCCAACCTGTCAAAACATGTGAGTGAGAACTTGTCTTGATAAGGAGTGTTTTTTGTGCGCACATTAAGGTCTTGCATTCATTTTTTTTGTCTCTGCACACTTTTGCTGATTTCTTTTTGTGGGTGCAAGTGAGTGTTTGTGTGAGCATGAAGGCTGTCCTTGTTATTACCTCCCATTAGCCTCATTTCAGCCACAAAACAGTAATCTGGCCATTACAATGAGTGTGTTTATCATCTACTGTAATAGCACATTCCCTGCACAGAGTTTGTGGTTCATTTAGAAATTAAATAAACACTGATTTCCTGTCCACCCTGCTTTTTTCCCCATTGATAGCAGTGATTAGCATAACAGTAATTAGCAACAACAATGTGGAGGCAAACAATTATAACTGTGTCCTGCCTACTGCATCATGGGGATTATAGTTCAAACACTCCAGTGCAGCTCGTACCTTGTAATGTTTTTTCTTGATAATGTCTCTAGAGCCGTTGACGAGTCTTTAATTTTTTATCGCTGGAACAAGAGATCACAGAGTTAGTCAGTCATTTCCAACCATGCATCTCTTGTTGTTTGATGAATTGAGCAGAGTAGCAGCTAGTTACTAAACGTTACCACAGGTGATAATACCTCTGCATGTATTAAAAACCATCATCTAGTGTTTACAACCTATTTAACATAACCTTTTAGCAAATGTGGCATCAACATATGTTTCTGTAACGAACCCCAGCAAGGCTCATTACAAAGAGGTCTAACATAATCACAGAATCAAGGAGTTGCAACACAAAAACACAGTTCGGAAACAAACTGCTGCTGCTATGGCTGGAAGGTGGACAAGTTAGAGAACTTGGCTCTTCCCTCAATCAGACCAGACATAATACAGCTGAGGAAAGAACAGAAGACATCATGAGTCACTGTCATATGCACATTATAACCAGCAGGAGGGTGTAACAACTTCTTTATTGAGAGTTAGTTGAGAAGACTGATACCACTCTTTTATCTGCACATTAAAAATTAAGCTGCTGCCAGCAGCCGGTTAGCCTCGCTTATTAGCATCTTATCAAGACTGGAAACCAGGGGAACAGCGAGCCTGGCTCTGTCTAAACATCACAAAATCAGCCTACCAGCACCTTGAAAGCTCATTAATTAAAGTTGCAGTAAGTGATTCTGGAGAGCACAAGCTAAGTTGTGGGTTAGCATGCTGTTGTGACAGTTGCTGCTGTGAAGCTAACATGAAGCTAACATACAGAGAGGACGAGACAGCTCCAAACAGCGGTATTCACAGCTCTCCTACTACTATAGCAAACATCAGAACAACAGCATGTCTGTGCAAAGTAGAAAGTAAGCTGAATGTCAGTGGGCAAGTAATTTATTGTTACCTGACACACAAATCGAATAAACATATTTCCCAAAATGTCAAATTTTTCTTTTAAGGGGTGGCACTGTTATCGTGCAAGAATAGGGGAAAGGATTGTTTGGCAACTGTCAACCATTTACTGAGCTGCACAGTGTACGTGCATTCTGAAGGTCTCTGTCTGACTGTAATTTTGTGTGCACATGCCTGTTATCATGAAATCGGCTTTTCAGCATTATCTGAGGCTTGCTTTGGGCAGGTGTGTGCTGTGGTAACCATACTGACCCATACTGACCTGGACTGTAATCAGTCTCACATAAACTCTGGACATTATCAGTAAATTTACATTTAGAGCGCAATTGTGTGTAATAGCCAGTGTGCACTCATGTATTGCTTCCTCCTTTTATTCAGCAGTTTTTGAGGCACCACCATTTCAAGTTATACTCACGTGACGTTTGTGTCCCACTCTGAGCAGAGCTGCAGAGCACCTCTTTTGCTTTGCCCCAAGGCAACACACTCTAGCTCTTAGCTCTTATGAGTGTTTGCTCTTCAGTGTCCAGAAAACAAGTAAGGATTAAGAAACAGTAGAAGATCGGAAACTTGTGATGTGAGGCTTTAAGGAGGAGTGTGTTATAAATGAGCATGTTTCAGTCCAAATGTAAGAAACCTGCAGTGCTATTACAGACTTAAATGGAAGACTTTATTTTTTGCAAGTGCTTTCTTTGAAGTTTACAAAATTTAACATAATTCACAATGAGACAAATCAGTCAAACATGTTTTTTTTTGTCCCGGAACGATAATAATGCAAATATGGTAACATTTGTCTGCTGTCTAGGGGGGAATAACGACTGCTACTTTAGACTTACAAAGCAATATATATTACGGGTAAGTTAATGATATTGTGAAACATAAAACCTACTACATAAAGGCAAAAAATTTAAACAAAAATGAATGCTTACCCTACCAATCCGGTCAGGACAAGTAAAGGCCTGTTTCCCCTGTTTTTTTTAATTTGTGACTTGGGACTACATTTCTAACCACAATATGACAACGGTTACGCTGAAATTTGGGAAAAAGAGTTTTTTGGTATTTTTCAATAGAGTCATTTCATGAGCTGATGAATAGGTGTGATTAAGGGCTTCTGTAGAGGCACAGGACACAAGGCCTGCATTTTCAAAATTTACAACAAAGTCCCATGTGATATGAGACCTAGGCGCATGCGCACGCAGCGACTGGCAGTGTATGAGTGTTCGGCGTCCACGTGTATGTTTGACAACGTTCTTTCCTTTGTTTAAATGTCTTAAAGTTTTGTTTTGTTTTTTATTGAAGTAATGCTCTTAAAGTTTTAAACTTAGTCGAAAATGGATGCTTTTTATCTTTTTGCTCTATGGCTTGTGATGTACTGGATGGCCGCCGGTAAAATGTACGGGGCTTTATGCCAAATTAGGACAACATATACGAGAGAGGCATTGCTGCAGCTCAAGAACATGAACAGTAACCCAGCTCGGGAAAACTTTATGCTGGATGTCCCAAATATTATCCGAAGGGATTACCAGGAAGCATGGGGCACAGTTAAGAAAAGGAAAAGGGGTAAACGAGGCGGCGTAAAAACTCGCCTGAAGAAACAGCGCTTCAACCGGGCTCCTTTGCCTTCGATGATTATGGGAAATGTACAATCACTAAGGAACAAAGTGGATGAGCTTCAAGGAAATGTCCGCTACCAAAAGAATTTCATGAACTGCTGTATTATGGCATTTACTGAAACATGGTTCACAGAGCGTGACCGGGACGTTGATTTGTGTATGGATGGATTCGGAGCTCCCTTTCGTTTGGATCGACTATCAGAGGTGACGGGGAAAACCCAAGGAGGAGGGGTATGTTTGTACATCAATAAGCGGTATTGCTCATGTGTTACTGTCAGAGAGCGTATTTGTACACCTGATGTAGAACTTTTATCGGTGTCCTTGAGACCGTTCTATCTACCTCGAGAGTTCCCTCAGATTTTTATTACAGTTGTTTACATTCAACCGAAGGCGAACCCCGCATCGGCTACTTGTACAGTATTTGATGTTGTACAGAAGTTACAGTCAATCTCACCGGAGGCACCAAATTTCATTCTTGGGGATTTTAATCATGTATCCTTAAAACAGACTCTTAAAACTTTCCATCAGTATGTCTCCTGTTCGACCAGACGGGGCAAGACTTTAGATCTGTGTTATGGATCGGTGAGAGGTGCATACAAATCTGTACCCTTGGCACCTTTGGGCTCGTCAGATCACAATTGTGTACATTTGCTGCCTACATATAAGACTGTTTTAAAAAGGGAGAAAACTGTGATCAAGGAAATTAGAATGTGGTCAGAAGATGCTGTGTCCTGTCTAAAAGACTGTTATAGCTGCACAGACTGGAACATTTTTAAACAAGACTGTGGTGACGATTTGGACTCAATGGTTGATGTTACATGTTCATATATGGCTTTTTGCAGGGACATGATAATTCCATGTAAAAAGGTAAAAATCTATTCGAACAATAAGCCCATGGTTACTAAATCAGTTAAGTCCTGTTTACAAAGGAAAAAAATAGCATTTAAACACGGAACAATTATGGACTTACATGTGGCTACTAAGGATTTAAAGGTTGAAATTCTTAAAGCTAAACAAAGCTATAAGGAAAAACTAGAAAATAAGATGGCATCCAAAAATCCTGGCTCAGCATGGGCAAATATGAAAACCATTGTAGGCCTTCATAACTCAGATTGCAGTAATCAGATTATTTTAAATGGTTTTAGTTTCTGATCTTGAACTAGCAAATGCACTAAACGATTTTTATTGTCGTTTTGACAATTTGAATTTTAATAAAGAAATCCAGGAATTGAGCGTTAAGTTAATGGATGATCAGCATTTTAACATCGACCTTCAGGATGTGGAAAAAGCTTTCAGACAAGTTAAGGCAAATAAAAGCCCAGGTCCTGATAGCATTTGTGGCAGACTATTAAAGTCATGTGCAAAAGAATTGAGCCCTGTATTTCATGAAATTTATAATAAGTCTCTGGAGACACAACATGTACCGATCCTGTGGAAGGATGCGGTGGTCATTCCTGTCCCTAAATGTAGAGACCCTAAGATGATAAATGATTTTAGGCCGGTCGCTTTGACTTCCATTTTAATGAAAATCCTTGAGAAATTAGTACGGTCTGAGATTTTGAGGTGGACAGAACATCGATTGGATCCTATGCAGTTTGCATATAGACCTCATAGAGGAGTACAGGATGCTACACTCACAATGTTAAATCTGCTATTAGGACACTTGGATGAACAGAGGACACATGCTAGACTTTTATTTGTTGACTTTTCTTCGGCGTTCAATACAATTCAACCACACATTTTAATTGAGAGGCTTTTAGATCAGTTTGTGCTAAGTAATAATTTGATTGGTTGGATTTTGAATTTCTTAACTAATAGAACACAAAGAGTAAAAGTGAATGGTGTCTTATCTACACAGATGAGTTCCTCTACAGGGTCTCCTCAGGGATGTGTGCTGTCCCCGCTTTTATTTATTTTATATACTAACATGTGTCAAAGCATGTATGAGAATAGATTTATTATAAAATATGCGGATGACTCAGTAATTTTGAGTTTACTTAAAGAGAATGAGACCTCACATGGTCCAATTATTGAGCATTTTGTCAAGTGGTGTGATGAATCTTACTTACAGTTAAATATATTGAAGACCAAAGATATGCTCATTGATTTTAGGAAAAGTACTCATCCAAGTGATCCTACCTTAATTAAAGGCCAAAAAATAGAGTATGTACAATCATACAAATATCTTGGGACCATAATTGATGAGAAACTAAATTTTGAAGAGAATTGTGAGGCTCTGAAAAAAAAGGGGCACCAGCGTTTGTACTGCCTAAGGAGATTATCTGTATTCAATCTTGATAAAACAATAATGAAGTTGTTCTATCATGCTTTTATAGAATCTGTTTTGTCTTTTTCCATCTTAGTATGGTACGGTCATATATCCTTAAAGGGAAAAAATCATCTAGATCAGATAATAAAATGGTCTGGCCGTTTGATAGGCGAGTCAAAACCAGGAGTGGCATCACTATATGCCAAACAATTACAAAGGATGGCCCTTTCAATTTTAAATGATGACTCTCACCCTCTGCGAAATGAGTTTCAGTTATTACCGTCTGCGAGGAGGTATAAAGTCCCTAGGTGTAGAACGAAAAGACATAAAAGCAGCTTCGTAATAAATGCGATTGATATGCTTAACAAATTGTAGAGGTGTTTTCTCAGATATATACTAGGGGTCTCATGAATTTTTCATAATGAATTTTTTATTTTATTTATTTATTTTATCTGTCCTTATGTGTAGTGTGATGTTCTGTGTTGTGTGTTGTTTTTTGTACTGGATGCCATAGAATGTCATTGCACTGTAAAACAAATTTACCTACGGGTATAAATAAAGTAAACAAACAAAAACAAACAAACAAACATGTACCTGTCAAAAAGTAAATCATAATGCTTAATTATCATTATTAAGTGGCATCAGGAACGGATGGTGCATTGCAATGCAAAAAGGCAATCTTACAGTATGTACATTCACCACCCACATCCACATGATTTCAGTGCAGGTGTAAGTGATGGTGTTTCATTTTTAGACCATTAACTTCAAACCTCATACACTTTATTACTGTTAATAATACTGATTATTATTTTGCAAAGCATATAATAATGTAAAAAAAACCTCAAGGCATTTGCAAAGACCTGAATCTTGCCAGAGATGTTTTGAGTGAATGAGTTCTAAAATATTTTGTTGGAAGCTTTCAGAGTAATTTGACAAGTCCCCTTTGTCTGAAAATTAATCTGAAGGGCATTAAAGCCATTGCTGTTCAGAAATCAACTCTCAAGTCTTGGAGCTCCTAATTAGCAATACGGTGGAAATCATGGGTTATATAGATATAATTCCCCTAGGTATTTACCCCATCTTACTAACAACTGTTATATGTAGATCTCTTACTTTATTGATGCTTGTATGTTGTTCCTCAAATGTAAGTTGCTTTGGATAAAAGCGTCAGCCAAATGAGTAAATGTCAATGTAGTTAAATGCCGAAAAGTTAAGAAAGACAGCTTGCTTTGACTTTGCTTCACGTTTATGTGACAGGTGATGTCAGTAAATCGATGACTTCCCCTAATGTATCAGTGTCATTATCTGCTATTTACTTCCAACAAAAATTCATAGTGAGCTTTACTTTTATGGCAGTTTTTAGAGTTGTCTCTTTTAAGATAGCAGAATGAAAGCCATCAAATGCGCTGCTGGCATTTATTTGTCAGCAATTGTATGAAATTAAGTGTAGTTAAATTCAGTACCATGGGGAGAAACACTCAAAGGACAATTTATTCTGTCTCAGTTTCCCTTCAGGATTTTTCCTTTTGCTTTGTTGTCTCTCCGGATGTAATCCATTCCTCTTGTGCTTTTCTTATCTCTCGTTGTTGTCTTTCCCTCTCACTATGGCATGCTGTCACATTTTGTTTTTATTTCACTGCCATACCCTTGTTCTCTCACGGCCTCTCTGTCTTGATCTCTTGATTTGCCTCTCTCACTCTGTCTTTCCTCCCCCTTGCCTCACTTTCCTTGTAATCAATAATCTCATACTAAAGGGGACACAGGCATGTTGGCTCGGGTGCAGCATACCAGCCTCGATGCAGGTCTCAGGGGGTTGGCAAGCCAGAGAGCCAATCCATTAGACTTATCATGGGAGCTGTAGGCTACAGGCACACCTGGGAACCAGGTGAGAATGAGTGTGGAATTTAAAGGGATAGGCCGAGAGAGTGGTGGAGCGAACACACACACACTGTCCTCTATATGAGATCACACTCATTTCTATAGCTATATGCAGATAGGTTAGGAAGCCAGGATGATCTATTTTGAACACGTTTCAGAGATGCATTGCAAATTGAAGGCATTTATTTGAAATGGGCTGAAAAGCTCATTTGAAGGTATTTTTCTGAAACTCATTTAAATGACTTGAAGCTTTTCTGCCCTGAGCAATCCATCTGACGTTTAAAAACATCTGTAAAAACTCTGGGTACCACCTCCTAATAAGTCATCTTTTTTGAACAGTCTGTAAGTTGCAGCTAATGCCATTGTTAACAGTTGATCAATATTTTACTGATGCTTTATAAAATCAGTTATAAGCCAAAAATAAGAGTGACTTTCGTGTTTCCAAGTTGGGAAAAATTCCCCTGGCAGTGGACTGTTTCCTTTTTATCTCTTTATTTCATTAGCAAGGCCCATACTTTCTGGGAAAAGAAAAGAATCTGCAATAATTTGTCTTGTTAAAGAAAGAGTTGGGAAATGCACTTACTTGCTTTCTTGCCGAAGGTTATGTGAGAAATAAAATATTTATGAAAGATATTAATTAAATTTGTTTATGACACACATGACAAACTGTAGGAAATCACTTGACTGTGTATGTATGTTGTTAGAGATGTTGGTGGTTTGGTCGGGCTGGACACTGAAGCTCAAGCAATGATGTACATATTTCAAAGAGAGTGGTATCGGTCTTCTCATCTCACTCCAACCTGGTGCTCCTAAATGAATCACCACAAATAAAAAAAACCCTCTTAAATAGACACCTGGGTATCATTTCAGAAAGATTTTTCCAGTTGATCTGAAAACTAAAACTGGTGATATGCTACAGACTCACAGATGAGAAGCTCCTTAAATTCTCCTTAAAACTGCTTTCCATAATGTTTTTGAACCGATCTATATCCATCTGCTCACACTCCCCCTGAACTCCTCCTCCGCTATGGATCTCAGTCTTACCGATAAAACTGTTGATTTTTCTGGACCATTACTAAATGGAGCTACACCCACAGAAGTATCTTTTTTTCCTCATTAAATCTTATTTTAGCCCATGCTGTTATATATTTAGCCATTAGTTGCACAAAACCCATTCTCCGATAGAACTCATGCTGGCAACAGCCGCAGTTGCTAGGAGATTTGTGACTTTATAGCACAGCCTCTACATCACAGACAGTGGAAAATATCATAAAAATCATTTTAAAATGTTATTGTTGCTCAAACAAATTAGTTTATGGCAGATCAGAGTCATGTGACTCTGTGTGTCCAATGCTGACGTGAAATGAGTTAGAAAGGTTGACATAAAGCTGGGTGGAGAGCTAGAGCTAGAGAGATAGAGACAGAATAACAGATGAGGCTGATCAATGGAGCAAAGAGAATCCATTATGTTAGTGCCGCTTGGAGCTGCTCCAGTCAAATATTAGAGACAGTGTCTAAAAATGATGTCGGTCTCACCAGTGTTGACCCCCCCCCCCCCCCTACACTGAGTAAGCCGACTGCCTTGGTTTTATATTCACAGACAACATTTAGAAATTCATGTTGTTATAAACTGTTTCCAGCACTGATACACTCAGAAGTTTTGTGTATGTACTCTTCTCTCCATCACTCGCCCTTTCTGTCTGTATCAGCTGCTAAATAATAGTATGTGATGGCGATTTCATTTACCAGGAAACTGGCAAGGGAGCAGAGTGGGGCAGGTGTGAGGGCTGGTGGGAGTAAGGCTCAATCTACTTGGCAATATTATCTGTCATCGGGGAATAGGGAGATGTTTAAAATGGTTTGGCCTGTAGAGGTTTGTTCTGTAGAGATCCGGGATGAGGGTCGTTTTTGTTTCTAGCTGTAGCTTTAGTAATTTTATGTCAGTTTTGTTTTTATCAGTTGAATTGTATGTGTGTTATGCCTTGTCTGACTGAAAAAAAAAACTCTCTGTCTTTCTTTTTACTCTACAGGATTTTCTGGGCCAGGCTTACTGTACTCTCGGAGAGGTGGTTGGATCATTGGGCAGTCGCTCGGAAAAAGCTCTCACGTAAGTAGGTGTGCCCGTAGCTGGGAGTGTGCTGATATTTCAGTAATTATCTGACCAACATTGATTGATAATCAAATGACTGTCATAGCTTTCAGGGATGTTTCTCCCTACAGAGTATATGGAAGGACCCAGGCATTGTCTTTGGGAGTTGCTGTATTTAAGCACTGACTCTGCACAAGCATGTTTACACCTGCAGTTGTTTCACAAAAAATATTCTCACATCATATAAGCTTACAGCACACCTGACATGAGTTGCTGTAGTCTACAGCTGTACTTTTGTGATAATGGTGAAAAATGGGCTAAGTGACTAGCCATTTTTCTGCGCAGGCAGAGTATATATATACAGTAAATATTACATCAGTACAGTAATTTATTTCGGATTATAATGCATATGCATTTATTCTCCAAGATGTTTGCTGAATGAGTCTGTCTCTCGGCACCTGTGAGGCTGGTAGTGTAAATCCAGCTTGATATCTGTACAGTAAATCAATAAAAAGTTGACTTGAAAGCCAGTATACCCGCCAGCAAACCACTGAAATCCTGTAAGCCAAATAAGCTACAGTTCCAGGTCAGTGGATTGAAAATGTTCTTAAATGTAACAGGTGTCAGGTATATAGCTTTAAAGCTGTGAGATATGTGATGATTTAACTCTGTAGAGAAGAATACCGGCTGCTTAGTAATTGGAGAGACTCAAGGAGTGTGGGGAAATTAAGCTGAGGAACAGTGCACACCAGTTTTTTAATGAACATACACACACACACACTCCCAAACACTCAAGGGTATTCATGCACATACAAACACCTAGGCTTGTTAGTGGCCTGTTGTTTTTTAATATTTAGCATGTAATCATTGAAAAAGGCTAAAATGGGGCAATGCTTTAGGCCCAAAAGTGTATTATCCATCCATTCTTCATCCACAGGGAATAAATACATTTACAGAAACCAGATAACCATGAGTAAGGCTCTTCATCTTTCATTCGTCATTGCGGATGTGCATGAGAGCCTGCTCTTTGAGAATCATTGCTTAGATTAATTACAGATGCATTAGATCGTTTGTCACCACACTAACATCAACACGAAAATCACATTCTTGCTCATGTGCAAACAAGAGTGTAACATTCAGGATTTGAAATGTTCCATTTGGAAACAATACTAAGGATATAAGGTTTTAAACGCTAATGTATTTATAGCAGCATTTAAAACACTGTTTTAAAATGAGGTAGGCCTAAGCTGATTGACAAATTAGTGTCAGGGCTGCATTTATAATTGATTTGTATCTAAATCTGATCCAGTACCAATTTACAGTATTTTAACCACTGTGCTCCAGCTACCCCAACTGTCACAAAATGCCCCTCCGTGTTTCTTTAAAACACTGTTAGTGTTTAAGTGATCCACAGAGCAACAACAGCCAGACGTCTCGATAAATATATCCACTCTGACAGGGAGCTGTTTTCAGCTTAAAAAAACCCTTCGCCTCGCCTCTATTTTAGTGACATTTTGCAGGTGTACCACCTCTCTGAAGTTGGCCCAAATCTTCCTGCCACAGTTCCACTCTGACACTCTCCCCACAGATATTTTACAAAACACTGCATTAGAGGAAAGCTGTGTTGCAGAGCGCGTAGCTATTCTGTGTCAACTAATTTAGGCCTACTTTAGTAGTAGCTTGCACTGTGTAGCTTTATTAATACAGTATATCATTACCGCTAACAGATATTAAAACACTTGCCAAATCAGCGATCTTAGTAGCCCTAAATATGATATATCATTATCTACATTAATCCATGATGACCATTTTGGCCTCCTCTGTTTCAGATATTTTCTCTCTCTCATGGTTGAAGCCCACTTGGCTTCCTTTAAATGGTGTATTTTGAATCTACTTTGCGTGTTTGACGCCTTGATGAGCCTTGGGGAAAAAGGGAAGTGTTGACGGAAAAAAACAGCTAAGATGGCATCCCTTCACTGAACATTGTCAACAACCTGGCAACCTGGGTGTGTGTTTGTGTTTTTTTTCCTGTGTCCTCTTCGTTTGAAAGCAACCTTGTCATCTACTTGAGTAGCAATCGCCATGGTGATTGCAGTGGCAGGTTTCCCACTCAGAGAGAGAGAGAGAGAGCAAAGCGCCTGTCAGTCGACGTACAGTATGTGTGTGTGCACATATGGACCCCTCTAAAGTGCAAAACGATGTTTTCCACCCTGAAGCGCTGCTCAAGAATGCCCTTCCTCCACTCCACTCTTTATCACACACACACACACACACACACACACACACACACACACACACACACACACACACACACACACACACACACACACACACACACACACACACTAATGGGTGCCATTCTTGTAGTAATTTGGTAATGGTGTCACTAATGGTATAACCACCACTGCTCCTCCATGGCACTGTGATCCTATTCTGAGTAAGTTTTATTAAGAATGTACATCAAAGCATAAATACATTTATATTTATATTTTTACCAACAGCAGGGTGTCTGCAGATTGTTAAAATTTAAGGCTTTAAAATTGTCTAAAAAAGCCTTTTTAATCACGAAAAGGTCTTAAATTTGAGAAGAGAAATCACATCATCTCACAGGATTTAATACTAATTCAAATATAAAATACGTTGTTCAGTCTACACACATGCTCTCCATCAACTAAACATCCCGCCCTGTCTACTCACCTGCCTCTCATCACCCCATCAACCTGCAGTATATCTAGCCTACTATGGCTACTATGTTTCTATGGCTTTCTTTTTGGTTTCATCTACCTAAAAAAAAAAAACACATTTTGGGCTTTGGAGATGTTAGCTCCCTTGACTTCACTAGAGTTGGTCGCCAATGGCATAGAATTATGTAGGTTGTCCACCACTGAAATTTCCCTTACAATACTTTTTATTAAAACATTTAAATATAACCACTTTTGTCCATCAGTGTCTAGTCACTGTATTTGGCACACAAACTGTTAACAGGCAGCCAAAAATTAGTGAAAGAATAACATAAACCAAAACTATGACAGAGTAATAATAATCTGAGATTTCAAGAATGAAGTCATAATGCTATGAGAATAGTTGTAATATTTCAGGAATAAAGTCATTGTAGTAACAGGTTGCTTTGAGTCATACAGGTGCATCTCAAAAACTTTGAATATTGTGGAAAAGTTTATTGTTTTCTGTACTTTAATTACACAAAGTGAAATATTTTTTTGTTGTGTTTGTATCTTGATGATTACTGCTTACAGCTCATGGAAATCAAAAATGCAGTATCTCAGAATATTAGAATTTTAGAATAGATAATGTGCCTTCTTTTAATTTATATATAATACTTTTGCCCGAGTTACTGCATCAATGTGGCGTGGCATGGAGAAAATCAGCCTGTGGCCTTACTGAGATGTGGAAGCCCAGGTTGCTTGGATAGCAGCTCGTCTTTATTTTTGGGTCTGGTGTCTTTCACTTTTCTCTTGACGAACCCCACAGATTCTCTATGAGGTTTAGGTCATGCGAGTTGGCTGACCAGTAAAGCACAGTAATACCATGGTCAGCAAACCCATTACTAGTGTTTTTGGCACTGTGGGCAGGTGCCAAACCCTGCTGGAAAAGGAAATCAGCATCTCCATAAAGCTTCCAGTTATTTACTGTATACTACAGCTGCTTACTCCACCTCTCTTTTTTATTTTGTCTTGAAACTGTGTGTTGAAAAAAACTATTTAAATAAAGTTATTATTAATATTAAATGTAGAGGACAAACCTCCTGAAGATAATCAATAAAGTGTAACTTTTACTATAATTATCGGGATTAAATGTGTCAGTAGTTGCAGAAAATAGAGACACTGTACTTTCATTGTTAAGGAAAGTGCCGACAATCACTCTTCATACATTGTGCCATGTTAATAGAAATACATGCAGCTAAAAAATTATGACAATCATATGTTTTTCAAGTGTCATATTGACCATTTATAAACCCCGCTGTTCATGAGTGATTTGGTTCAGAAATAGAAACACTTGTCAACATTTATTAAAAACAAAGGTATAGAGGCCACAGCTGTTGCAGTCGTCTTGCTGAGGTCTGATGTGTCTTTATGTATGAGTGTGTGTGTGTGTGTGTGTGTGTGTGTGTGTTAGACTTCGTCATACACACACCTGCAGCCTGACACGACAGGGGGATCTTTAACAATTGTAATGAGTGCTAATTACAGCTAATTACATTGTTCAATCAAACTCCAGTGGGCATTCAGGGGTGTGTGTCTGTGTTTGTGTGTGTGTGTGTGTGAGAGAGAGAGAGAGAGCGAGAAAAAGAGACAGGAAGCAAAACAATGACAAGCTCTGTATCCTGCAATGCATGGCTCCTGGCCGACCAGCACTACATGTATCACATAGTAAGTATCTTTGTACATTCCTGCAGTAATTTCAGTGCAATCATTAATAATCCATAAAATAAAGTTTCAGTATTGGAAAAAGCCAGTACAGAATCTTTGTTTTATGTTATATCTGTAATTGGACTCTTTAGTTGGATAACTGCGTTCATCAAAAAGAGTGAATGCCATTAAATCACTAAACATAATGATATCCAAAGCTTTAACTAAGCTCTAAATAAATTGTTATATCACAACAGTCTAAATAAACACCCAGTAAGACACAGATGCTTGTTCATGATCATAATATTTTGTAATTGTAAAAAAGAGAAAAATGACACCTGAGATCTAAAAGTTACTTTACCTGGCTTAAAAATTGTCTGGCACATACTATAAACCCCCCTAAAACCACAACATGCCGTTTTTACATTTCTCTTTTTGTACAGGTTAAACTAACAAAATATAGAGAGAGCTATAGAGGTGCTGGTAGGCAGGCTTTGTTGTCATTGCACAGAGCCAGGACAGCGTTTTCCTTATTTCCAGTCTAAGCTAACCGAGTGCTGGCATCATATTTAGTGTACAGATATGAGAATTCTTTCAGTCTTCACATGTAATGTGAAATGTGTGTTTCCCAAAATCCACTTGCTTTTACAA